ATGCTATAATGCCAGAAAGGTCTGTTGGTATGGATGGACTTGCATAACGCTTACGTGTGGCTAGTTTGACCCAGTTCTGGTACAAACTGAAATCTTTCATAACTTTTGAACCAATGGTCCGATCGGGACAAGATTTAGTGTACGTTTATTATTCGTCAAAACGAAGAAGTTATGTTATCTGAGTGCCAATGATATTGATTTCTTAAGGTACCTCTTGGTCAACCTCTATAGTAAAACTCCCCCCCCTTTTGTCCAATATTTTATGTTGTCTGGGCTTATATGTATTTAATTATTTTCTTGAAATTATATTCTGAAAAATAGACAATTGCGGTTAATGAAATCAGAACAGGACAAAATCCCTTATATTATGTATTGACATTTAGACCTGAAATTTTTAAAACGACATATTACGGGACAAAACAAGATTCAACATTGTGGAACTCGTATGGTGCAGTTGCTTTTTTTATATGTAATTTAAATGTTTTACCAAATCACACTTATTGACAGGGGGTAAATATGGGACATCAAGTACGAACCCGATTCGAGAGTTTGATAGCGGAAAATACTCACAATGACCCGAATAAGAAAATCACCCGCACACCTTTTGGATTTTACACTTGGTTCAAAATTCAAGTCTGACAAAATTGGAAAATATTAGCCGCTTTCTTGGTATGTACTTTCCAGTGCTAATTTTGGACTTGAGGTCAGAAATCGACATGCCCGGTCATCTCTAAGGTCTGTCAAAGTGTCACAATTTTCAAAACTATCATTTCATTAGGCCTAAAAAGTCAATTTTAATGTGTGATCATGTGGCCCTCATAACTGGCACCGATCGCTTAGTAGTAGTCGTACATAAATTTTTAGTCATTCGCCTTATAATGTGGACAAAGTACCGTAGACGGGGATTTAAGACCGGACCAGAGGACCGGACTGACAAGAGGAATTTAGGACCGGACCAGAGCACCGAACCTAAGGGAAATATTTAGGACCGAATCAGAGACTCGGGCCTAAGAGGATTTTATTGAAGGACGGACCCGAGGACTGGACTATAGATAGTGGAATATATAGGTTAGGGAGAAAAAAATGATGACTCATCAGATGTCATCATTATTTAGTAACTAGGAGACCATAATCTTAGATACGGAGATTTTCACATTCTGCCATTGTTAGAGAAAATCTCGTCCCACACAGGAACGTGATTAATAAATACAGTAGACGCCCCGTTCATAACGGCACTTCTGACTGAGTTCACTTATTTCAGACTTAACACTCTTTATTAAGTGTCACTCGGTTTTGACTACATTTTTAAGTGACCGAACTACTGTATTTATTATACTACGTTCTTTGAAGGTTAAATCAACTAAGAAACAGCTTAGTTTAAATATTTATTTTTTTGTCAATGATGGGACCCAAGACTAGACCGTTGCCAACGGTGGGTAAGCAAGCTTGTGATCGGTTGTTGAGTCGGTTTATTTGAAATCTTCGCCGTTTAACCGAGCTATGCAACAAGGCGGAGTCAGTACTTGTCAAGAAACCTGCGCCTGAAGATGCCAAGAAGATCGAAATTCATTTGGAATTAACCTGTTTGCTTTCGGAGGGCCAATACTCAATTCAAATCTTGGGTAAGCTTCAACAGTCCCCAAACTGGATTTCCGATGTAGAGGGACACCTGAATACGATGATTCATGTGTAGGAGGCCACGGACAGTATTCGTCTTATTCAAGAGCAACTCCTCCAACTCCATGAGTTTTCACTGGCGGATATTGACACGTCTACACCCCAGGACTTGGACCAGGCGACCTTGGATGAGGACTTTTCTGAGACTCAGGCCGGACCAACAGTGCAACAACGTTGGGCTCCTCAATACCCAACGCTGGCAGGGTCGACACCTACTCGCCAGTTACCTGACAAAGGGGCTAACGGAATGAAGAAAATTAGCCCAGTGAAACGAAGAATTGAACGTACGAGGCCTGTACCTCAGGTGGCTCCTTACGGTAATGTTCGATCACTCACAGAGAGCGGTCGTTGTAGAACGCTCAAAAACGAGTACAAACAATTCCAACCCCTGATGAGATGCTGCCAAATGATCTGGATTGGTATCAGAACTCAGAAACTTTGGTGAACTGGCCTGGTAGAATTGTTTTGGAACCTACGGATTTATACTTGGACATGGACACTCCTCAGAATTTATCGTCGTCGGCAAAACGTTCTTTTGATGCCTTCTGCAGAGTAATGAAGTCCCCGTAGCAACAGATGAACCCGAGTCATGTGGCAACGAGCTTATTTTGTGATAGGTTGTGTATCCTCGCCGTAAACCACGTTCACCAGGGGAGTTACAGGATAATTCTCAGGATCCGGGGAATGTCCCTATTGATACGATTACATACCCCAAGCAACTTTCTGTTCATCACGACCGCTACTTGGAAGACCCACAGGCAGTGAAACGTCATAAAGGATCGGAACCTACGGAGCCTAGCATTACTGCATCGACAGCGGCCGAGATGAAATTGTGAGTTTTTCAACTGACCCAACGAATGATGGAGGCAGAAGCAAACGGAAGCATAGACGATGCGCGTGCGCTACAGAGTCTAATTCGTGCGCTAAATGAGACTCTGAAGACGTGCTTAATAACGGTCGACAAACGAACACCGAAGTTATGGCCACCCAATCCGCAGGGTAAATATTATTTGGACAATCTGCAGAAAAACGCTTTTATTTTGGACTGGCACAAGAATGCGCGATTCCACAAGCTAGAACCGATTCATTTGCAAATGGGTTTACGCCGAGCTCTACAGCATGAAAGGGCTCCTAAGGCGCTATTGACTCCTCCAGCAACTACAGGAGCACCACGACGTCCATGGTATCTGGACCCTCCACGAACACCTTGGATCTTTTCTCCAGCATGTAGAACAACCCCTGTACCCACATCCGTCTCTGACATATCAACAGATGTTTCCTATACCCCGGCTAGTCACGATGTTGAAGTAATATTTCCAAATTTCGGTCCAAACCAATTCATCGCGCCTGTCGGTTCAACTGTTTCGGATACAAGGCACTTCTAGTGGTGATCGTTATTGTGTGAAAGAATGCACGATCACGTAACCAACGTCAGGTGCACACAAGTGTGCAGCTTGCGACCGCAATATGCATGCAATTTATAGCGTGCACGTAGGCAAAGGGTAAGGCTCAACGTGTTACTCCTTGTCTACAGATAAATGCCAGGCACCAGTTTATCATGGTGATTCTTTGTTCTCCTAAACCTGGTTACTGGTAGGGTGAACCCCAGACGTGTCTACCACTTTATATGTTCAACGGGAACTGGACATATACAGTGGTATGGCTGCATCAAACTTCAACCTACCTCCCGCTACCGCTGGTATCATATCGTGTTTTCTGTATTGGGCTATTTTAATTCTTGTACAGGGTCTCAAACGAGCAAAAAAGTTACATTTTTGTCCATATTTGGGTTTTAATAGAACAAAAAAATAGCAATTGTGCCTCTAGTTGATAAAAAAGTAGTACATTTAAAAAAATTCATCATGACGTTGAGTTTTACTTTAATTGTTTAACTTTTAACTTCTCTTGTGTCAGTGTGTCAAGAACTCAAGATTTGTGTGATGACTGATGAGTGTTGGCTGGATGTGACGACAGTCACACGACAACTTGAGTGAAAAAAACAAAACAAAAATATTTTAGAAGAAAAAACAAAACTGTTCAGCAGTTCAGGCTATTTTTTTAAAGCCTTCTAAAATGGACTAAATAAAACCAAAACAATTTTTTTGTTCTTTTAAATTCAAAACAGTCGTAAATACAATGATTGTGAAATCTCAAATTTAGTTGTAGGTTGGTATTTGGCCGAGTCTTATGGGACCTAGATCACCTAATCCATCATAATAGCACAAGCGTTCTAGGCTGTTGGCCAATCCCATCGCGTGTCTTATTTAAATTAAAAATTAAATTCTCTGTCCAAACCTTTAGAGACAAAAAAACATCTCCAACGAAATGATTTTCGTTATAGTTTTACGTTATAGGTCGTGTTTTGTACGTAAACTACCAAATTCCAAATTAAACGTACTTTGGAGGTCGGTTTCGATCAAACTTCAAAAATAACAGTGTGATCAGTATTCACAAAAATTGTGCGGGATTTGTTTTGAATTTGTTGATATTTAGGCCCTGTTCTGCAACTCAATAGTACGGCCATTTTCGACGAAAATGTTCATTTTTGAAAAAAAGAGCATTTTTCAAAATTCAAAATGGGCATCTTCTCATAAAATCGTTTGCAACTCAAACTTGAAAAATGTCCATACCTCCAAAATCATTTTTTTTGAACATCTATAATCGCGTTTTTACAAAAAAATTTAAATGCTGTTCTTGTAAAAAAGAATGGCCATTTCTTTGAATTCACGTAAAATTTCTTTTGAAACTGTACAAAATACACTTTCAAAAATAGAATCGGCGATATGTATGGTCGATCACTATGTAATATAATTCGTTCTTTCGTGGAAAAGGGCGCGTTGCTATACGAATAATGAAAGGTAACATGCATGGAAATAATGTGCACAATGACAATGTCAAATGTAGATATATGGCTATTTTGATCAGCCACTTCAGACGAATTTTCAACCGATTTAGTCCCAGTGACCTCATCTTCCTCCACAAGAGAATCCATGGATCTAGGCGCGTGAGATGGGTTTGCACTCATTGAGGCTGATAAATGGTGTGGCACTTGCAGAATACGACTATACTTATATATTCTAACGATAATGAAATGAAAAATCTCAACAGTTAGCAGCACGAATAAAACGATACACGGCGCGTTTTGAGAAATGGCGCGGTTTCGTTTTTGCTCTTTTTATTTTTGGCGGTATTGATGTTTGCGTAAAAATGCTGCCGTAGGCGTAAAAATCGACGGATGGAAATAATGGCCGTTTTCCAAAAGTATACAAGAAACTCAAATATTTTTGAGAATGATGTTGTACCCATTTTTGTAATAATGAAAATCTGAAAATATAAAATCGATCTAAAATGGACTTGCTTCAAAAATTGACATTTTCATATTGAGGTGCAGAACAGGGCCTTATAATTTTACGTTAACTACTTTAGACAAAATATCCTAAAATTACGAAACGGACAACTTCTAGGGCACGAAACCCCATAACGGGCAATTATTGCCCCATTATGGTCAGCTATTGATTTAATATCTGGAGGGTCATGATGACGTCAACATGCATACGACCCGTCGCGTGAGGTCTACAACTCAAGAGAGAGTAAAAAGAGGCGACATATGTGCATTTGCGTATGAGGGGTATCATATGTACAATATGTATATATAAATTATGTATTTGTAAATGACATTTTTATCTACTTTGAAACAATTATCAAAATACTAAAACTTTTCAAAGAAAAAGTATCTATAGTATACTCTAAAAAATAAAGTCTTGCTCCTTGAAAGAGCCCCCAACAAATCCCGGCCAACCGCCACTGCCTATACAGTATATAGTTTACACTTTACACATCATGGTTTACACACCCCGAGAGACTGAAGTCTGAAGAGAGTCCAAACTCCAGAGGCCCAAACTTCAAACAGCACGCCAGTAATAAACCCTCTCTACTCTTGCAACTCTTTACTCTACTAGTGAGAGTAATCTCTGGCTCTCTGCTGATTGGGTGACTTTGTAGTGTGACTTGTGTGAGACTGAGTTAGACACTGGGCCTAAGCTCAATAAGTTATAGGGGTACGGAATATAAGTTCCAACTTTAATGTTAACTTTTCGATTTTTAAAAGTTATAACCTTTATTTGGGTCAAATCAACTACAAAGTTATTTTGGAGACTGCACTCAATAAGCTGTCCGATCGTTGAAAATTTTAGGCCACAAAATTGATAATAGGCAATCAAAAGAGATTGAGTCTTTTAGTTGTGACGATTGTCACCTGAGTGACCTGGAAAATGCACCTATCATATATGGAAGTGTATTATCGGGATATAAAAGTTACAACTTTAATGTTTATTCGAGGCAAAATAAAAGTTACAACTTTTAATGCATTGAGCTTAGCTCTGGGAGTCTGGGCCCCTGGTCTGGGCCTCTGGGAGTCTGGGGAGTGGGGAGAGTGGAGAAGTGAGTATTGGAGAGTTGACACTGGAGAGTGGAGAGTGAAGAGTGGAGAGTGGAGAGTGGAGTGACTCTGGGCAGTGTGGACTGTGGACTGTGGACTGTGGGCTCAATAAGTATTAGGGGGACGGAATGTAAAAGTTTCAACTTTAATGTTAACTTGTTCTATTTTCAGAAGGCCGTAACTTTTTTATTTTTAAAAAAGGTAACTTTTTGCACACAATAAGCTGTCCGTTCGTTGAAAGTGTTAGGCCACGAAATTGATACATAATAGGCAATCATAAGAGATTGAGCGTTTCAGTTGTGACGACTGACACCTGAGTGACCTGGAAAATGCGATCATAAATGAAAATGTACTATTGAGATATAAAAGTTACAACTTCATTTTTTTTTTGTATATTCGAGGCATAATAAAGTTACAACTTTAACACATCGAGCTTAGCTGTGGAGTGCGGGCCTGGACTGTGGAACTCGTAAATATTTATGTGCAAATTGTATTTCGTTATTTTTTTTTTTGCCATTTTTGTTTTCTACAAATGAAAAACTATTTGTTAGTTTTTTGTTTTTAAAAAATAGCATTTGATACACACTCGGTTTTGTTTTGTAAAAAATATATCAAAATAGATTGTTTGTTCAATGTCAATTTAGAAGGCTATGGTATCAAAATCTATTGCAGTGACCTGAATCCTGAGGCTGAAACCTGAAGGTAAAGATTTAGTAAACATACCCTTTACCTATAGAGAGTAAATTTAGTAGTCCTGCTGTAGACTGCTGTCCTAAGGGCTGCTGTCTAGCAGACTGTGGAGTGTGGACTGTGCCACTGTGGTCAGTGTGTGCTAGAGTAGTGTAGACTGTAGTCTCACAGTACTGGACTGTCTTGTGTGGACTGTGGACTGTTGGACGTGGATCTCGTTATTTTGTAATTTTGCATAGCGCCCTAAAATAAAATAAAGTATGTTGCCCTTTTTTCTTTTCTTTTTAGTTTTTTAATTAAATTCATCTGTTTTTTTAATATAAAAGCATATATACAGTACATACTTGGGTTTTTTGTAATAATCAAAAGGGTGTTTTTCATAGCCTACTAAATAAAACATAAATGTGTTTTGTTTTCTGTATCAAAATTTATTGCAGTGACCTGTAGGCAAGATTTACAATTTATAGAGAGTAATTAGTAGTCCTGATTATCACTCCGACCACTCTTTGCTCAAATTCTATTATTTTTACAAAACCAATCCATACTTTGACGATCCATACTTTGACGGATACCCAATATTGCATTATTGGCAGTTTTGGAAGAAGAATTGAGGACTAGAGGAGATGAGGAGAGTAATGCTTGTTTTCTGTTAGCCATCGACTGTGCCAACATTCTTGCCTGTCAATGCCGAACTTGGTCGTTAAGAGAACACCCAGTCGGCACTCGGCACTCGGCAGTCGCCACTCCCAGTCAGCCCTGTTAATAGAGGCTCACTACAGTACGTCTCGGACGAACAGATTTTTTTACCAGGGGCGATATTCGACATATTTTCTCTGGGTAGTGGCCTATGCTTTGAGACCATCCGTCTGAGAGTGAGAAAGTCCTACAGTCCAAAGACGGCTCAGAATGACTGATTTATAGTGATTATTAGCAAATGTGCTAAAGAGAATAAATGAGTATCGATTACAGCCATGGCACTGGGTAAAAGCGTTTTTTGTTTAAACCTCTATAAATTGCAGTGAGGAGAATTCCGCGTCAAAGGTGCAACGTATATTTAACAAATCCATCATGGTACTCCCGACATCAGTTGTTTCGATACCAGCCGAATTTAACATGTCGGTGGTTTTGATAGCCGATGATACACCAACTCACAGTCACAGCCTCAACCCCGCGGAAGAAATCTCGCGAGCCGCTCCTAGTTGGGATAGTCTCGAAAGATGTAGCGCACAGACTAGCTGCATTGGTATGGACAGCACGGAATCTCCTATTGCGTTTGCAAACAGGCTTAGCAATCCAGTTGCGACGAGCAACCCAATCATCAATCGTAGGATCGCATACCGCCATTTTCTTGGCGAAGAATCAACGCGGCGGGCTTGTGGAAATAAAGACCCAAATTCGATACGCGCCCCAAAATGGACCACGCGATTAGAAAGTCGCTGTCACTTCCAATACACATATGAGCCTACTGTGGAGTATCAAACAGCTGAAGTTAGAAGATATAGTACGAGCACATCAGACAACTTCAAGGCCGAACCCAAGCCTCCCTTTCAGAACGTGACAGAATCTGAAATACCCACGCACCATAGTGAAGCCAGATCTCCAAACGGCTTCAGATCACGAGCACGGAAGGTATTATCGTTCCTCCGAAAGTCTAGCACCTTGTAGTCAAAGATTAGCCCTGAATCAAAGATGTCAGCAGGCATTTTCGTTTTGCCCATCACAGTTAGATGTTCACCTGATCATGTGCAAATACATATCAGGTCGGGACATAGGCCAATTCAAAGTACTACGTTAGGTAATGATCCACGCCTGAAGGTGTTCAGAAGTGTACTCAGTTAACTATCAGGCTCGGTTTCCTGGAACACCTCGAAGTCAAATACACCAATTTAAATATAAATATGTTGTGAAAACTCATAACAGTACTCTGAATCGGATAAATTACACGATAAATATCTACAACGCAGTGTTGCGTAATTCGATTGTAGTAAAACGTATTGTCGCACCCCTGTAATCGAGTGCACAGGCAAAATTACATGGATGTATACATACCAACAAACATAAATAAACAGAAGCA